CAGACCTTCCCGTTTCTACAATCTAACCCAAAAACATGTTAAATACCAAGAGGCTGAAAGGTGGGAAGCACGTACAATGATGCATGTCAAATACAAAAAAATAAATAATGCATTTTAGTTATTAAAACAATTAGCCCAATAGAGACAAATACACTCTACATCATCACCAGGGGGCAAAACTAAATCATTATTCCAACATTTTCTTTAATTAACACATTCTCATTTAATTTGAAAAAAAAAAAATGTTAACATATTACAAGATTTTATTTACCACAATCCTTGCACTGGAGTTTTCCGTCCTCGCAAAGACTTGAAGATAAATTATATTTGATTAGTTACACATTAATACGTCATGTCACCATCATACATTGAATGTAATTAGCTACAATTATGTTTGTTTTTTTCGTGTAAACATATTTTCAAGAGCAAGACAAACATATTTTAACCATACACCTTTGACACCCTGTCTCTAATTAATCTATTGTTTTTACATAATTCCTAATCAGCTTATTTTCCCAACACTCTTCTACTTTATCCCACTCACTTGACTTATTTTGAGTTGATCTAGATCACCTTTTTCATTCATACTGTAACCTTCCTTCCTCTTTTCCTTGATTTTATTTATCATTTATTGAGACCACTTTCCATAACTCCTATTTCCCTCATTCCCTTTTGCTTGTATCTTTGTTTTTTGTTTTTTCTGTTGCTATTTTTCTGCTGGAGGTAATTTTGCAGGGCTCTGGCAGTGCTCCACCTGTTCCTCTTTGTACAAAGGCAGAGGTAGTGGTCCTGCTGCTAGGTTATTGCCCTCCTACTGCCTCCACCACATCTCCTGGTAGCTCCTACAGCTCTGGACACTATGCTGACAGACACAAACAACCTTCTTGAGTCCATCTCATGGTACCATGAATGCGAAAGCACCACCAACATTTTGAAATGACCAAAAGATCAGCCAGAAAGCAGATAACTACTCTTTTATTGAGTGTGTCCTGGTAATTGGCAACAATTTGCACCTGTTGTCTATTCCATTTGCACAAAAGCATGTGAACTTTATTGTCAATCAGTGTTGCTTCCTCACTGGAAAGTTTGATTTCACAGAAGTTTGGTTTAATCGAAGTTGTATTGTCTTTTTACATGTTCCCTTTATTTTTTGAGCAGTATAATATACTCTAACACTTTTGCATCAGATTAGTAATTACAGTGGTTAATGTACCATTAGAAATACATTAACTTGCTGAATATTATTAATTTATAGATTTGCACAAATAACTCCTTACCCTTCCCTTTCCTTTTCAAGTGCTACAAGTCTGTTTCCATTAACCCACCCTGAAATTTACAATAAAAGTTGGTCTATGCAAACACTAATAAATTTAGGGTTTAGGAGGACGAATGAGAAGCAAAACGGTTAACAGTACTCAATCCTTGTCTTCCATGCCCATATGAAACTCTTTTCTACTCTACTCACCCTCAATATTTAAGGTTTGACTGAACCAGTTCAGAAGAAATGTTGTGGCATTTATCTAGTTGGTATGACAGCAATGAACATTTTCAGTATTTTCCATGAACTCACCATTGTCGCCCATCAAGAACTACAGGTCCTGGTGGTGTAACACCCCTATTGTGGTAACAGTCGCATTTCACCTTTGGGGTGCAGGTACCGTCCTGGTTCAGATGGGTTCCCTCTGGACAGCCACAGCCCTCTGTTGGAGGGCTGTCCCGCTCACAGCGAGGATCATACCCGGACAGGGAGCGGCACGTATGATTACAGGCCCGAACATTGTAGGAGAACTCCTGGTTCTTTGGACATGTCAGAGCTTAAACACAGAATTGTTAGAGGTGTTAAACAGAAAACATTCATTCTACTTTTTCAGTAGGAATAAGGGGTTAAGTGCTTTGCAAGTTTGGCATGTAGACAACTATATGTGTGTGTGGAAAAAAATGAAGACATATGTTTCATAATATATTGTTTGTGTTTCAACATGTTTCCTAAAGCCGTTACTCACTGCAGTTGGTGGCTCTCCTCCAGTCACCAAGCTCTACACCCAGAAAGACGCAGGCTTTAGCATAACTTCCCAGAGAAGCACACAAACACTGCTGCAGATTGTTGCCACAGTTACAAGTTCTCTGGATGCAAGCCTAGAAGCAATAATAGCTTTTAAAGGGGCAGTCATTGTTAATGCATTACTGTTAGCTGACTTTAGGGCTGCAACTAACGATTATTTTAAAAATCGATGAATCGGACGATTATTTTTTCGATTAATCGATGAATCGGACAAAAATATTTTTTATATTAACCTCTTTAATCCAAAATAAACATTATAGACAGAACAAACAAGCACACAAGTACAGGTTGCTCATTAACTGTACTGGTGCAATATGAAAAATAAATGTTTGTGTTAAAACTACGCAAACTTACATGAGAAATGTAGCTGTACATCCACAAAATATAGGGTACTTTGTTTCATAAAGCGCAAAAAAAGACATTTTTGTTTTTAAAAGCCCCTAAGGGGTTCAAACAATAGGCCCCCCCATTTCAACAAATGAGTTTTTTTTAGACTAGAAGAGTTCTGCCTTTGTAGACAGGAAAGTACAGCAGTTAAAGTTGCTACTTGAGAAAATACTGAACCATAGAGATAAAAATAGCCCTGTGATTCAAATTATAAATTGTATTTGGAATAAAAATGAGAGAACTAGGGGTGCTAAAAAACATATCCTCCAAAGACAGATATTTACATGGGAATGTGGCAGATAATTAATTGACATATTACTGATCTTGCTGGATTTTATTCTGCTTTACTTCCATAAATTGCAGGATCATCTTTACTTTATCTTTGCCAGAAGATTTAAACTTTAAAAGTCTTGCCCTCATAATTTGCAAGTTAATTTATTTATAAAGTAAATATAAACGCTGCTTAAGCTAATTCAAATGAAATTAAAAGTAAAATAAGTAGCCAACCTTATCACTGTCTGTAACCTACTAACAAGGTAAGGAAAGCATCAGATGAGCTACCTGAGAAACTGACGTAACGTTTCCCTACTTTAAAACCAAACAAACATGGTGGTTCCGTGCCATGTTAATTTCTTTTGAAAAAAGTTGCATGTTATGACTTTTTTCGCTTTACAAAGCGCAGGCTATTTTAATTATTGTGATCAATTTGCGCCGTCAATCCCGGTGCATGCGCGCTTCATTTGCAGTCTGGACGCTGAGGCTCTGACTGAGAGGGACTCCTGCGGGAAAACGCGGTTGGGGTGGGGGAGGCGCCCCACGGCAGAGTAGGAACGATGCATGCTTTCACGTAAGAGTCTCCAAAAGCCGCCAGTGACACCGAAAAAAGTCGCCAGATTTGTCGCTAGTCGCTTTTTTGAAAAATAGTCGCTGGAGGGGTCTGAAAAGTCGCTGAGTTGGCAACACTGCACCTGGGGCGCTGGCTCGCTCTGCCGTATTTTTTTTCTTCCTCTTTCAGTCAAGAGGCAGTGATGACGGCGCGGCGGATGATGCAATAATCGCGCGACACAACTAATCGATGATGAAATTCGTTGCCAACGCTTTTAAAAGTCGATTTTTATCGATTTTATCGATTCGTTGTTGCAGCCCTAGCTGACTTATTAACTTATTGGGAATTTCTTCAAAAATGTATTGTTTAATAAAAACATTCTTACGGCATGGTACTGGTCAGTTGGGATGTGATCATGGCACTTGGAAAATATCCCATTTGGATCATACAATAGCGAGCACTTCTCATCTGCAAATATTTCTGAAATGTACAAAATGAAATAATATGAAGAAATTTCTTGGCAAAATCCTTTGGTACAATAGTTTTCTATGAGGCCAAAGATGTAATATGAGGAAGCTATGTTCAACTTCTTGATCCTATCTACATGATTCCAGTCAGTGCTGTTGAGGTTTCGGTAAACTGGGTTGTTTTGATGGCTGATGTCTGTTTTTTATGTTACTAGCTAGCAGTTTATCAAAGTTGTTTGAGGGTTTTTTTTTTTGTACACTAACATTCATGTGTTTGGAGAACGCCAATAATTGCTGAGAACTATGCTGAATACATTGCTTCATCAAGAATTTAAAATATGATCCTAAAGTGAAATAAGAATCTTTTTTTAATTGGCGTTTTAGGATCTGTTATAAAGATGAGGTATTATTCAGTAAATGTTGCTTAAGAGTCTTATATAGAAACAACCGCTATAAATCTATGGTGTTTAAGGTACTGTGGAGGATTTTGTAAAAGACCCACCCTCTCCAACAATTAGCATGCAAGAGCTGCTTAGTTGTCCTTTGTGCACGCCCTATTTAAAATGTGCTGCTCCAATAGCTCATACAAGCTTACTGTGTCCACACATAGCGGGGACTATATAGTGGGACATTAGTCGCCGCTAACGGGGAGCGACAGCCTATGGCGACAGCGGGCCTCTGTGACAGCAAATCCCATAATGCTGTGTGAGGAGAGCTTTCCGTGCAGCTCATTCTGGGGTATATCTGCCTTTCTTTTCTTCTCATACACTTCGTAGACACTTTTTCACTTACGACCCTCGGCCATTTTCAAAGTAGCACGGTCAGAAAGGTGAGCTGCAATGACTGTCTGAAACCGTCGCTCATGACAGATATATGCCTGAATGATAGCCAATCGGACGAGCACATAGGAAGGCCTTACGTAAACATATCACCAGAATCATTGACAATTAGGAGGATCACTTATTTAGATGATCCACCCAGAAATAAAAGATCATCCTCTGTACCTTTAATTTCATATTCCTTATAAAAACAGATCACACTCTGTGGTGACCAAGGTTTTTATAGATGAAGTGACTGGAATTAAAGTATTGTATTGATTTGTTTTGCAAGAGACTTTATTTGCATATAAGAATGGGCCTCTGGAATTACATGGTTGATTCTGAAATTTTTGAACACAGTTTATGTATAAGCTTATTTCAACAGTTGTTACCATTGTCAGTATTGATACAAGGGTCGGGGATATCCACTTGACAATATCCTAAACTCCAGGATAGAGCAAATAGCTTGGCAGAGCTCTCGATGATCCCGCTGCTCGTAGTGAAGTCATCTGTGGTGTCATTGTTCCTGTTTCCACAAAGACCTGAAAGAAAGCCTGACTTTAAATGCAAAACCACCAGGGTGACATGCTAACAAAAATACTATACCGTAAAATTATAGGTAATAAATATATAATTCACATTTACGGAAGCTTATGTGATAGCAGAAATGCCTATTTGTTCATTCTCCCAACCTGAGATCTGTCCAGTAGTCTCTGTAGGTGTGATTGACAACTGGAGGTCAGGGAACACCTGGACTTCAACGGTTGTATAAACTTCAACATACATTGATGACTGCCAGAAAACCAGTGCTAGATCTGTGAGATGACAGAGATTAGCAGAAATGTCATTGCGATATTCTCTAATTACTCTGGATGCATTAAAAGGTCATTTGGCATTTGTCATACCGGATTGGTAGAGCTCAGTAATCTCTTGGTCTCCAACTGTCACCTTTCCTACTGTGAATGTAAACATTTCCTGAAAGAGGTAGAGTATATTTGATTGAAGATGCTTTATAATTTCATATTAACTTTTTAAAACTTCTAAAGACATTTGCCTCGATTTGCCCATACCTGTATAATCTGTACACGTACTGCCTTCAATGATGGTTCAGTTTTAGAAAACTCAATCTCAATATACCAGTTAAAGTCCTGCAATGGAGCCAGAGAAGTTTGCGCTTTGAGATTAATAATCCAACAAGGCTGACAATTAAGGACCATTGGGAAAAACTTTTACCTGCGATGCCATATATGTGCATTTACCAGGAACCGCATACTGTTTGCCGTCATATGTTGTCACAAACTGTCCTTCAATGAGACATCTGGATGGGCAGGAGTTTTCAGAGCAACGCCACCTCCCACTATCACACTGACTGAGATCAGAAATTTAATATGAAAAGGTAAACAGGGTCTTTTCTCTTTTAATTTTTAAGATTTTAACCATTGCATACACAATTGTTGGTTGTTGTTTTTTAGCAGTATTTGCTTTGTCATGTGTAATATACTTAGGGCTTGATTTTCAAAGATTCCAAATAAATGGTGCTAAATTGCACATGTAGTTATTTTTTTTGGACATGCAACAAAGGGCCGTGTTGCAAGTGATATTTTTGTCAGGTTTCGCCTCACTTTCCGAAGTACAAAAATAGAGACAACTACAACTGTAGTTAAGGTTTCAAATTTGGACAACTGATTTGTAATTATAAATGTTTACATTTGCATATCCTCCCCCCAAAACTTTGCATAATTCATAGCAATGAAATTATACACAAAAAAAAGGTTTTCTGTCTGCTGAATTGCAGATGCAAAACATTTTGCACCTTCTTGGAAGAAATGCTTTATGCATTTGAAACATTTGGGCACCTGTTTTAAGACACGTAAAACTTCTGAAGGTCAGGCCCTTTTTGTTTGTTGTTTTAGTGCATCTAGTCTTTTTCATTGAGAAATTAAATGTTTAAACAAGGCATATCAGATGTTTGTAACAGATCAAAAAATGTCAAAGAAAGATGTAAAAGATGTAAAATGTCAAAGAAAGATTTAGTAATAATTTTGTGATTACATTTTCTTATTGCCAGTGTCACTTAACTACACATAATGGTGTAACTCATCTGTAATGATACCTTTGTATGCGTTAGTTACAAGGGTTGTACCAACATACAAATGCATTTTTTCTCAACTGACTCATTAGAAACATGCCAAATGGAGAAAAAAAAACTATTGTTGAAGAACCTGTTACTAAATTGTTTAGGTACATGTAGAAATTGTTAGTCAAGAATTCACAGCTTTAAAAGGACTTTTGATGCAAACAAATTTTTCTTTAGAAAATTAGACAATAAAATGTTCTGTCACTATATCAATTGGCTTTTTGTCATATGTCATAAATAACCTTTACTTATAAAAAAAAGTCACACTCGTACTAGAGAGATGGCAAATTCAGCCGATCTTGTGACAAGTTTCTAAAAATGCACCATTGTCTTTAGATTGCCTGCCCACTCACCGTATTTGACATCTTGTGGTGCGAATGTCTCCAGGGGAGTAGATCTGATCAGCGAACACACAGGGGCAGTTGTGGACACCAAGACACTTGTATTCATCAATGTGATCATTTAGCACCTCATCTGCAATTGCATTTGTACAGTTTTGAAGATCTATGCAACGAACATCAACCAAAAAAACAAAAGTAGATACTGCTGTGTTGTTTCTGTCAAACTCGCAGTGCTCACCTGCAGGACAGACACAGGAGCTGGTGGTCTCCAGGGAGGTGAATCTGGAGTCTGGGTTTGAGCAGCTGGGCACAAAGGGAGAACCCTCATCAATGTAAACCAGGTCTCCAGGACAAGTTGGTGGAGCTGCACATGTCCATCAAAGCAGAAAAAGAGTATCACTGGGTGATCAAACTTTGATCTCAAAGTATTTTGGGGAGTTGGATACCTCCCTTCAGGCACGTTTATGAATGGTTCACCTACCACAGTTGGTTAAGGTTCTCCAGGTGGCCCAAATATGGGTTCTTTTTCCACACAGTAGTGCAATCTCTTTGAAGAAAGCACATTGAATGTCGCTGCTACCTTCGAAGGTGTAAATGTTCTCGTCACAAAGGGTGATATATTTCGATGTTTGGAAAGTCCGACATTCAAGCGTGTGTGAGAAGAAGTCTCTGCACAGCTGCCAATGTCACCAAAGGAAGCAAAAACAGTTTTTTAAAGAAAAACTTTATGTGGACATCATTCTTTTGATCCTGTTTGCAAGTTTAAATACTATACAACCGTTTTTTTTAAGTAAAAACTCCTTGAATCCTCATCTTAACATGGTAGAGAGATGTCTGGTCTGATGATCCCAGAGCCTATGCTTTCAGGGGCTTTAATCCTCCTGGTAGTGTCTCCGACGGGTCAAACAAAGAAAGGTTAAAACACCATTATTTAAACAAACACACCAAAGGTATTAGATTCGCCTGGTTCAGCAGAGCCTAGGCTTGCCCTAGAGCTCGGCCTTGGGTTGGGATTTGTTGGGGAGATCCTTATCATAGGGCCAAGCCCAAACCAGTGATGAATGGCCATCCCACAGTGGGTGCACGATCTGAAGTGGGAGCCATAAGGGACTAGTACAAAGAGTTCTGGACAGAAGTCTGAGGTGGAGGCAGAGGTGACCTGAACTACGTAATAACCATTATACTGGCATGTGGAAATGTCACTTTGCTAGAGAGAAAGGAGCATGGGCTTGTGCAGGAGGTTGAGTGATACTGGCTTGAAAAAGTCACGCTCATCTCCGTGAACAGACTTGGCTCTGGTTAGACTACTACTCTCTACTCTACCACTTTAGTACATTACAAGAAGAAACAGAAGGCTATGGTGGGTTTGCTTGTCTTCTCATTGCTTAGCTTCTAATCTTGGGTTTTACCCCCGTGCATGACACGGTTACATCCTTGTCAAGTCAGTAAGGACGCTCATACTGTTGCCTTAGCCTATTGGCCAAGCTGCTACACATAGTACCTGGCCTTCTTAATGTCCCTAGTGGGGTTGCTGGACACTGCTCCTCTGGGGGACTCCGTCATTGTTGTTGGGGTCTTCAGCGACCGTGTGGGGGCATGACAAGGAATTATGGGAGGAATGGACCCTTGCTCTGAGTCTGAGTGGTGTTTCATTATTGGACTACTGTGTATTGTCCATTGTTGGATGCACTGGAATGGAGTATGGAATCATGTATTCCTGAGAGTTGAATACAGACCATTTGGTCCCATTTTAACTTATCAGAACTAGCAAAGCAGCTGGTATAAAGATCAGCTTCTCCGAATCTGAGTTTATGGTTCTCAAACCAGAAAAACGTGGCTTACCCTCTTCTCGTCAGAGAGGAGTTCTTTCAAGTTTGGGAGTTTAAGGATCTTATGTCCTGTTTAAGACTGAGGAGACAATGGATCAGGATATTGGTAGGCAGATAGGTGAGGCTGCCTCTGTAATGAGGATGCTGAACTGGTCTGTTTTGGTAAAGAGAGTGCTGAACCAAATGGCAACGTTTTTATTACTAGACAGAATATCTTTCTACCCTCACCTATGGTCATGAAATCTGGGTCATGAACAAAGAACGAGACTTCACATTCAAGTGGCTGAGATGAGCTTCCTCTGCAGGGTGACTGGACACTCTCTTAGAGATAGTGTGAGAAGCTCAGCCATGTAGGAGAGACAGGGAGTAGAACAGCTTGGTGGGTCAGACCTCTGTTTTCAATGACCCCTTGACATCTTCCTTGGGTGATATTCCAGGCTTGTCTGACTGGGTCCAGGAGAATGCAAGAAGATGCTGGAGGGGCTATAGGTTTTCACCTTTAGAGATGCCCAGAGATGCCTCTGCTGAGATTACCTCGCTTTGACTCATTTTAAGATAAAGCAGATAAGGAGTACAACTGCCTTTTATATAAAATGGAAAAAGAAATCTAACTAAGAAACTCAAACACTTAAGGAGAGTTCCTATGCTTTGTCTTCAACTGAAAAATAAAATGCAATTTACCGGATGAGGATGAGGGACAACGTCCAGAATGACACAGGTGGGGTCAGAAATCAAAGAGTTTGACATCTGCTCCTGAATGTGACCTGCTTAAATGCAAAGTACAGTGATTAAAACATTTCAATGGAAAATCAGAATTTACTGCATGTTTTTCTTGTTAGGATGTAGTATTACAGCTCAGAATAACAGTAATTAAGAAAGAAAAAAATATATCTTCTTAGCATACATAAGCTTTAAGATATGCTTATTTTCCTTATCTTTTTAAAACTGTTTACCAGATATCTGGATAGAATTTCATGAAGGTAATTCAACGTTTTCAACTGGTAGATGTTTCGTAACAATCTAAAAGCCGTCAGTATAACAGTCAAACTGTTATACCCTGTATAGCGTTTTACATCAAGTAAGTGTATCTCTATTACCTTAGAAGCTCAATAAACAGAAATGAGGGTGAGCTTAACATAGTTTCACTATATCATATCTTTGCTGTGATTAAATACATTGTGGTAATTTTGGAATTTAATCTAAACAGTACTACAACTAGTACTATTTTATGGGATAACATACCTGAGTTTTGTATTGCACAGAGTCCACTCAAGTCAGAGCTCAGCTCTTGGTCTAGTTCAACCTTTATAATGAATCACAAACACAGACTTTGGATATTAGATTTTAATATATAAGGGCTTAACTGGTCATCAAATTGGTCAGTAGAAACTCAGAGAAAATAAAGCAAAAGACAAAGTTACTAACCACCTTATCATCATAATAAAACAAAGTGCACATGCAATTGATAAAAATGAAGCACAAATATTAAAACCAACTATATAAACAATTGTAAAATCAGAATTCTGTGTAAGCAGGGTCGCACGGTCTCATGCACAAGTGTACCAAATTTCTAACAGCCACATATTGAGAAACTGTGATGCAACCTAATGAAGCTCACTTTGAAGTGGAAAAAAGGAGTGTGTATGCTTGATCTGGTGATTTAAGCACATCGTCTAAACGCACTACATTCACTGAGTCTTGAGTCAAAGATCATACAGTATGTGAGACCAACTGAGCTTTTGTTGCAGGAATACTTTAGATAGCTGTCCATTAATACTGATAGGACCAAATGAACTGAACTAATATTATAAAGAAGTGCTCTAAAATCCTCATTAACCCCATATTTTTAAAGGATGCCAATGAAGATCAATGCTAATGCTGCAGGCAATTGCTGCTGAGAAGGTTTTCTTTTGCTAGAATGATCGCCTAGCAAAGAAAGTAACAACTCAGCATTTAAACCAAGTTTTTGAGAATTAAATACATGCTTATGGGTGTTGCCTGTGTCTTATCATGTTCTCACCCAAAAACTGCCAAGTCCTCCAGCTACTGTGTGCCAGGTGACTGATAGAGGGAGTAGTGAGCTCCTCAGTCTGGTGTAGATGCCGTACGGATATATGTGCTGGTAAGTGTGGTCATATGGAAGGGAAACCCTATAATAAAAGAGACCAAGAAGATGGGGGGTCAGTTTAGAGACTGCTTTGCTTGTGACAATGAAAATCATGGTGAAATATGATGAGTTATTAGTGTTTAAAGCTAATAATCTACCAGCTCTCACATAAAATTCAAAAGTTCCTGGTGCAGACCAAGTTCCCCCCTTGCTAAATGCCCTGAAAGGTCATTGAATTTATTTATCCTTTATTGTTTCCTTGATACCTTTTAATGGTTAATCCACATTGTTTTCTCAGCTGTAACTAATTGGTAATTAATTTAAGGCTAAAAAAATGTTGGGTAATTTCCAGGGCAAATCACTGGCCCACCAACTCCTGATCCTGTGGATCTGCTGGGTCATAAGAGACATATTATCATCTATGGGGGATTTACTAACCAGAGATGTGTTGATGTGTTTAAAGGCACAATTTAGAATTTAAATTTAAGAACATTGCCAGGGGTGGCTCAAAACTCTTTCATCTACCTACTATTGGTAGTGATATTAATCTGGATTGATGAGAATTTTATTTTCCTATACCAGATGATTTAGTGTCATTGGGGGAATAATATTCTACAAGTCACAGGGATCTAGATAAAGCTATTCAAGTATTTAATGCTGTTTTTACAGTTGTCAGTCAGTATTGCTTCCTCCATTTAAAGCTTGTACAAAACTCTCCTGCTGACCTCTTGACCAATTCCCGTCCTTTCATCTTTGCACTGGCTCTCAGTTCGGGAAGGAGATCTGATGCTCTTGTTTAGTTTAATTGTTTTTATCTGAACTCTTAAAAATCCACCAAAGCCACTGCAGCAGAGCTTTAAGGTGTGCTGATCAACATTTCCTAGAAGTCCCTCACTTCAGCAATGGGGAACTCAGTCATTTTCATTGGTTGGTTTATCGTTATGGGATAGTCTTCTCTATCATTGACCTTCCTCTATTCAAACTTAAGACTCATTTCTTTAAAAAATGCTTTTAATGTTTAGTATTTTTTTTTTTCTTTTATCCTTTTAGTATTTCCCTTTTTCAATGTGTTCTGAACCCATTTCTTATGCTGTCAAGCACTTTTGCCAATGCAATGTGTTGTTAGGGGCATGTTAAAGAACCTTGGATTTGATGTTATGATTTCAATTACTGTGTTATTTTAATACTGCTCTCAATGAGGCCACTAATGATTGAAATGCAGAAAAAACCTTTGAATAAACATGTCCTTTGCTTCAGTAGCAGTTTTTTTAAACGCAAAGAAAGAAATTCTTTAATTTGTTTGATTTACCAAGAGGAGAAAGGAGTTTCACCTCAAGCAAAAGTAAAAAAAATAAATAAATAATAAAAATATCCAAAAAGCAAACATAACATTTTTTGTGTGCAAAGTACAAGAACTAATTGTGTTTTTCAATAACTGAACTGTTAATAATAAGATCACAAAAGTAATAATTAAAAGAAAATAAATTCTCAAGGATTATAATTTTCTTCTGGCCTAAAATAGATTTTTTTTTATTCAACATGTTCTTTCAAAGCTCTTGTTATCTGGAAAAAATGTCCTGTAGTTAAGCAAACATAGTTTTAAATATGTTTCTCCGCAATAACCATAAACATATTTGCGGGAAAATTGTGAAGTTTCCAAGCCAAATATCACAATTTGTATGTAGATGAACAAGAAACTGATAAAAAAATTTAAGCAGCAGATAACTATTTTATGAAATGTCATTATGTGATAATACTGAAATGACATCTTAACAAATCAGCCAGTAACGTAAAGCTGGGGCATAAATTAATCTTTTAAATGGAAAATAAGACTATAGAATTTTAATAATATATGTAAGCATAATATGTATCTAATTCAATGTATCTTAAAACAAGTGCATTTTATCTCGAATTAAGCAGGTAAGTGAGATACTTTGCCAGTGCAACAAAACAATATACATTTAAAATAAGGGACAACAAATGCATATTACCTTATTGTCTTATTTTAAGGGTAAAAGGCTAATTCCATTGGCAGAAAGTCTTATTTTCCTTCTCAAATTAACACTTATTTTATATGCAGTTGGCATTATAAGGTCTTGCTCTCGGCCATGAAGAGAAAATGGGTTCAAACCTTTTCTTCTCTACCAGTACGGTTCCATTCTGCACCACGGTCTTGACCTTGTTGATGATAATCTCAATAAGGGTCAGCAAACCATTTTGCCCTCACCGTATGGTGATGTCACACTCAACCCGATTGTGGGTGAAGCGGGTAAAGGTGAACGGGCAGTTGGAGCGCACATAGAAAGCAGAACCTGTGAAAGCCTGGATGACTCCGCTGCCGTATGTCTTGCAAGTATCTGATCACAGTGAGGCAGGTCAGAGGTTGTTATGTAGATACAGTACACATTCAGGAATAAACAAAAGGTACTACACAGACAATAACATGTTAAACTGCACTTCATGAAAAAAATGAAAAATGTTGCATCTACATACGGATACTTACATTTCTGAGACTCAGATGCTCCCATAGACTCGCCCTTCCTGAAAACTGCAAGAAGATTTTCAATAAAATAGGAAAAAAGTTAAAGTCACAGTTAAGAATACATTAAATATATTATTAATACACTAAGACACAGTCTTGGTCAGAATTTGAATCAGTAGTTCCAAATATTTGAACCCCCTAAAAAGATTTAAGGTTTGTAAAGTAGTAAAACATTTTAAAAATCTGTAAAGGTTAAAATACTGTAGAAGCAAATTATTAAAATAGTAGCAATTTTACTACTAAAATCTAAGTTTATAAACTCATTTTCTGTGATTGAAGAAATGTTTGTTTCAAAAAGTAATAAAGCTTTTTTTCTTAAAAAAAAAAAATCGGAAGTGCACCCATGAAACTTTTCTGAAATTACTTATTAAAAACATTAATTACATATTCAAAAATGTGTTTCACTTATAGCCTAAACTACTTAAACTTCTGAATGAAATACACTGGGAAACCATTATTAAATAATCTTTCTCTTCTTTTTAATAAAAAGAAAAAAAATCTGAAATCCAAAGTAGAAAAATCTAGCAACAATAACCATGAAATATGCAGAATCTTGAAAGATCAAAGTAATGCATAAATGTGCCTTTACCTGAAGCTGAGAAGAAACAGAGAGCCAGCATCCATCGCCTTGATTCCATGGTGTCTGATGCTTCCTCTCTGCTGGTGAACACAAGGTCCCAAGAAGAACTTTGCCATGTTTATATATGCCCGTCTCCACGCCTGCAATACCAAAATCAATACTCGTCACGTACAGTATACACCTGTGCATCCATGCACTCATCCAAAGTTGAACTTCTAAAGTAACCAGGAAGCTCAAGTCAAGGTAACAACAAAACAAAAACCAGAAAAACCCACACGTTGAAATACTATATTAATATAAAATAATATGCTTGTTATGTTCTTATTCTTTATGATTTGGAAAAAAAAAGGAAGAGAAATGTATTTAACAATTCTGTAGAGAAAGCTGCTATAGATTTAAAAAATGTTAAAGAATGTGAAACTCAAGTCTGACTCTTCCCCTTTAATCTGCATTGCTTCAAACAATAAAATATCAACTTGGAGCAACTCATCCGAAAATATAATTATATTAATAATTTTGTTTTCCTGAAAATACTGAAGACGGGTGACTTTGAAAGTAAACCCCACTATACTAGGTGATATATTAAGTCTTGCATCGTAAAGTAAGAAAGATCCTAACTTTTGTCAAACACTAGCCAGCCATGAAATTATCTGCATATTAACATAAAACAAACACAAATCACAAAGGGTGGGGAATGGGAGGGGGTGTCCAGGGGACATGAACCAGGATGTAGTTAATTATTTTTCAATGTCACAGGTCTGAATCATAAAAATAACCAAAATAACCTCTTACCATAAAGCATGGAAGGACTTAATGATACCTGAAAAAAAAGGGTTGTGCAATATACAAACACAACATTTCTCACTTTTAAGTATTGTTCTTGTCTAGATGAATAAATAATTGTTTTCATGTGACATATAATTTGAATTAAATGTATAACTTTCAGAAATAAAAAGTTCAAACAGACGAGGATATCTCAATGTACTTCCTTAACCATGAAGAAGTACATTGGTACAAACTTGAGATGATGGATAGCTAACACTGAATGAAAAATCATTAAGAATAAAATCTACAAATGAATCAATCAATTTTGAGAATGGGGAACTAAGAAGAGACTGTCATATAGATTAGTGAACATTTATATATAGTATAACACACACAAAAAAATTATTTAAAAAAGCATTAGCTATGAAATGCAAACATTTAGATATGTTAAATGGGTTTAATATGCAGTTCTATGTGTTTGAGGCTCCACATAACGACAGTGATTATTATTCACAGCAAAAGCAAACATTGAGCAATGGTGACCCTTCCCAGCAGTGGCCAGGCCTCTAAATCTATTGAAAAAGCATCCTAACAACTCATTTTAAAAGGCATAAAAAATCCAGAAAGACATCTAGGTGCTACTGACTTACTTCATTTGAGGTCAGAGTTCACAGCTTAAAATTACCAATAAACTTTGCAAAAGTGGTCCAGGTGAAAACCCAGGCAAGTGCCCTGTTACATCTAACATTACCTTAACACAGCATAATAGAAAATAAACATTTTTCTACTGACTGAATCATGATGATGATCCAAAGCACGAGATGTTGACCTCTAAAGCGCTCAGTAATTGTTCTAATCCACAACATAGGGTTTTCAACAAGAACAGCAATTTTCATTCTACATATTTTAAAATAAATTAGACTTTGATAAGGCCTCCCAATACCTTTATTTTTAGATACTATTTAAAAATTCAGGATGTACTAAAATGCTTTAGATCATTGCTCTGCATCACAACCCAAATGTATTTGAGCTCAAAGGCACAAAGGTGGTCAGATATTCTCCTGTAGAAATGTTCTATTATACGACCCAATTCAATGCTCCTTTAATTGTGGCACGTTTTTCAAAGCTACACTACAAATACCATGTGTATTTTTTTTCCCATGTACTGTCCATTTGTGGATAATGGCGTGGTTTGGGACATAATAAATCCAAATAGTATGGAATATGCTGCATGGGAAACTCTTCAATTTAGACAACTATTTGTCAAAAATGGTTATACTGTATGCATGAATTTTCTTTTTATTTATTTAGAAAACAAAAACAAAATATTCCCAACTATCTAGTGTATTTATTAAATGTAGAATTAAATGATCTCAGTATTTAAAAATGCATGCCTATATGTATCTGATTGTTTTTATTGTTTCTCTATAGGTTACTGTTCTGGTGAACTGTCAGGAAGCCACACCCCTCTGCCAATCTCCTCTGCTGCTTCTTTCTGCTCTGCTTGCTGGAGATGGGAACCAGCTGGACTCAATCTCTGGCAATCAAAGAGTGTACTTTTGATGTGGCTGACCTCTCACTCTTGTTTGAGGAAGTAGCACAGCATGCAAGCCAAACAGTGATGGTTGTACATGCAAAGTGCAAACCGTGCAAAAAGTTTCTAAGAACTGTGAAGGAAAGCCAGTAAGCTGATTACAGTTGCTCATTCACATGGACTGACTCTGATTATCTGGTTGATTGCGTAATACTATTAAAAGGAAAAAAATACACTTGGTGTTTATTAGTTAAAGCAGAAAAATTTTGAAAAAAATGTTAATTTATTAATTCCTGTTTAATTTCACTATAAAATACTTAATGTATATTATTCTCCAGGAATAAATTATTTAAATTGGTGGAAATTGATTTGTTTTTTTTTAGTTGTTGATTTCTCATTGTAATTAGATATTTCTGTCTCTTTTGAGAGTTTTCACCTGCGTGATTGGAGAAAAATTATGACCGTCATAATAAAGATGTCTAAAATAAGGACTCCTTGAGTGAATGCCAGTTATGTTTCACTGAAGAGACTTCCCTTTCAAGTGGGGACTGCACATCTAAAGATCAAACCTAAACAGGGAACTTGAAAGTTACATTGTTTTTCCTTTTTGCTGTCAGGTCAGCTTTAATAAAACTTTGTGTTGTGATGCTAAATATGTCCTGTAGAGGGCAGTAGTTTTCAGCTTTACAACGACCTCAGTCTGATGTAAACCTCTTTGCTTAGAAATGTCTTGTCCAGGCTTGATGCTGAGAAACTAGTCTACACGTTTGTTACTTCAATGATGGACTATTGTAATTCTTTATTACCAGGAACTCCTTAGACTACTGTTAAAACCAGCTTTTCCAAAATTCTGCAGCAAGAATTCTAAAGAAAATTAAATATTCACTCTTAGCCTCTCTTCATTGGCTTCCTGTTAAATCAAGAATATGATTTTAAATCCTTCTTCTCACATATAAGGCCCTAAATAGTCAGCTGGTATCAAAGATCAGATTGTTCCTAACAAGAGCACTTTGCTCAGTCTGTAGCTTTATTTTTTGTTCCTAGGATTTCTAAAAGAAGAATGGGAGGCAGATCTTTTAATTATCTGGCTCCCTCCTATACAACCATTCACCAGTTTCAGTTTTTGAAGCAGACACCCTGTCTAATTTATTTATTTATTTTACAAAGCTTATAGTTACAGTGGTTTAGGTTATCCTGAGGTATCTCTGTAGTTATGCTGCTATAGTCTTAGACTGCTGGGAGTCTGCTTCTGTCTCCTTGAACCCCCAGTTCAATGCAGATGGTATTCACAGTGACCCAATTTCTACTGTTTTTCCTCTCCACTGTCGCCGGTTTTCCTTAGATAGTAAATTTTGAACCAAACTGGCGGTATAATCCACTGTAAAGTGCCTTGTGACGAAATGTTGTGAATTGTCGCTTTATAAAAAAATTTAATTGAATTGCAGAAGCATATACTTCCAATAAGTTCAAGCAAATTTGGTTAAAAGGAAAAGGGAAAAACAATAGTCCCTGTCTTTTTGTTTCATATAGTATTCATATTCATACATTAGTCTACACATACTACACTGCAAAAACTCTCAAAATGAGTAAAAATGTCTTATTTTGAGCAGGTGAATAAGATTATTTGTATTTTTACTCTTAAATGAGAAATTATGGATTTGAAATAAGACAATGCAATTTTTGTTTTCTTATTTTAAATGTAAATAGACTTGTTCCATTGGCAAAGTATCTCACTTACATCCTTAATTCAAGAGAAAATGCAATTATTTTAAGAAAAAATGACTTATTTAGATTTAATTTTTTGCATTTTAGTAATAATTTGATTAAACTATAGTTCCTATTTCAGTGTATAATGTTATTGATCTCGATACAAAGCATCAGTCCCATTTCAGACCGTAAATGCCCTAATGTCTCTGAACCACGTTTCCAAAACAATCCCTTCCTTGCGTCATGCCTACGCTGGTAGTGACGAACTAGTCCACTACACTCCTCCTATCTCACCTTTCCTCCTCACTCCGCTCCAACTCTCCCATCAGGACCACAGAGATGTCCAGCTTGGTTGATAACAACACAAGGGAGAAACTTTACCCATTTTGCATTTCAACAGGCTCTGAATAGTGGTTTTAACTTCAGAAAATTGAGGGAAGCGGAGTTTTTTTGTGTGTGTTTTTAGTTCGTTTATTCATTAGAAAACACAGATAACTCAGCCGCCCTGCGCTGCGTTGCGCTTCCATATGTCGCGAAAGCAGGTCGACCATGACTACACCCTGCGGAGTATGAGCAACCTGATGGGCGACCGCTGGAAGAAAGTCAACGACGGAGGAGAGCGTAGCCTCATCAAGGCTGCGTCCAGCGGCAGCATCAGCAGCCAGGGCGCAGCCTCTGCGGGCGCACCAGCTCCTGCCGCCGCCTCCTCCTCCACCAACACCAGGGACTTGGAGCGGGCTGCGCGCAAGCAGTTCCAGCAAGATGTCACTCCAGCCTTCGTGTACGTCCTGGCTGTGTTCTCCGCGCTGGGAGGCTTTCTGTTTGGGTATGACACCGGGGTGATCTCCGGGGCGATGCTCCTGTTAAAGAGGGAGCTGGACCTGAGCGCGCTGTGGCAGGAGGTGCTCATATCCAGCACCGTGGCAGCGGCAGCCCTTTCTGCCCTGCTGGGAGGTTTCCTCAACGGGCTCTTCGGGCGCAGGGTGTGCATCCTGTTGGCCAGCTTCTTCTTCACAGTCGGGGGGATCGTGCTGAGCACCGCTCCCGGGAAA